AGGCTTTGTTGAGTTTCTTGGCTAAGATGCGTGTCCTTTTATGAAATGAAGCTTGGAACTATATTAACGAAAGCATTTGGGCTATCTTGTACTTAACTTTATGACTGGATGCTGTCACTTTTTTTTAAAAGGGTATTTTCTCCTTGGTGTTTTTTGAAGAGACTTTATAAAGGCAGAGGAGATGTGGAGTCGAGGGAGTGACAGTTTAATAAAAGGGGAGTGGCTAGTTCTTCCCATTCAGGGCTTTTTCTAGTCTTTTTTTTTAAACTGTAACAGTCAATATTTTGAATACCTGAGGGTTGCAAGCTTTGGTCAATATTCCTAATTGACTTCCTGTGAAATCTCTGGATGTTGTTCCCTTCTGCTTGTTTGAATTTACCTGTTTTGTCAAGGGGTGTGTTTTATGGGAATGTTACTATATTGGAGCAGTTACAAGTATTCTGTTAAATTTTCCAATAGTTGTTCTAAATTCTTTTATGTCTTAACTATATAGTGTTTAAATTATTTTGTGTAAAGCTAGGGGAGGCAATCGCCAAGTGGTATTATCGCTGGATTGTCAATCTAGAGACCCGAGACCCAGACCCCAGATGTTCTGGGGACCCGGGTTCAAATCCCACCACGGTAGATGTTAGAATTTGAATTTAATAATAGTCTAGAATTAAGTGTCTAATGATCATGAAACAATTTCTGATTGTCAGGAAAAACCCATCTAGTTCACTCTCTCTTTTCCTTCCATTTTAAAAAAAAGACATCTGCCATCCTTGCCTGGTCTGGCCTACATGTGACTCCAGCCCCACATCAATGTGGTTGACTCTTAACTGCGCCCTGGGCAATTGCGGATTGGCAACAAATACTGCCTAGCCAGCGACACCCTCATCTCACAAATTAAAAAGAAAAATGTGGTTTGACCAGTTGCATTAAACATGGAACACCTTCTTCTCATCTGCCTTTAAAATAAGAAGGTAGCCTAGATCTTAACATTCTTTTTGAAAGATTTTGAGCGGGGTCTGACCTGGTCCATAACTTTTGAAGTTGTTTCTCTTCATTTTGAAGAATGCACTAATACTTGTATCTTTACTTTTTTGAGGCTAAGTGAGTACGAACATTTTGTTGTTTTATTTGTTTTTTAGCATTTAGGCTAATAAGTTGAATATGCAACTAGGGAATGGTCCTAATTCCAGGAGTTGGAATATATTTACAGCATATCTTTTATATAGTACAATCATGGATTGCAAATGGGCTTTAGATAGGGAAAGATCTGTTGTTTTAGTCTGGAGGTTTGTCTCTTTTAACAAACTGTATCCTTCGTTGAAATTACTAATTAAAGCTTTCAACCACCTTATGAAGAGAACTTGACGTGTGCTGTTTGCCTGCCCCTAATTTTAAAAATGCATGACTTTGGGTTGTGGAAAATGTGACTTAGTCTGGCACTAGACCATATTGTATTGAATGAACACAGAAATAGCTGTTCTGATATGTAGTCTTGCTGAATATGTATTTGTATCACCATTCTCAATTTGACTACAGTTCATTGAATTTTCAATGTCGTACAAATGTCAGCTGTTTAATAAACTTGTTTTATATGGATCTGACACTTCTACAAACATGTACAATATTCACTTAAATATAATCTAACTGTTACCGTATTAAGATACTTAAACATTTGATTGTCCCAAATATCTAATTGGGAAACCTGAAAAAATAAAATCTTTAAGTACTTTACTTTTCTTTTTAGTCTTCCATTTGCATCAAATTATTTTTGGCTAGTTTATGTAATCTACCTTGGTTGTATCTCAAACTTTGCAAAAACGGAAAGTGATGGAGTCAGTTCAATTTTGTATGCACGAGATTTTTTTCTTAAAAAGCAACTCAATTGGCTGTTTAAGCCTTTTTAAGATGTGAAAATTTGTGATTTTATTTGTTAGACATAAATCCATTAATTTAAGTGCCAAAATAATGGCTGCTTTCATCACATTTTAATGTTTATCATAACTGGTAGGATGATACAAGTATTTTGGTTTTGATCTTTTGTGAGGTGTTATGCTGCTTGAACCCGTATTTAAAGTTTACATTATGCAATAGTATACAAAGTTGTCTTGGATGGCTTGTATTTTTCATCATTTTTATTTCCTCTATGCAAGTCACCATTTTTGCAGACGACGGGCTAGTGTATGACTGCAGTTGTGCTTATCTTGTCATTTCAACTTCTATCAGCTGAGAGTAGAGGACTGAATCTGCAAATATAAAATGCATTTGAACTAACATCCTTGGAGATTCATTTTAAAAGTTGTCAAAATTCAAAAACTTAAACTGCAGGTTATTTCCGTAGTGAGATTTGAGATCAATTGTTTCAGACTATTTAAGCTTCTATTTGGGATTGCTGTGTTGAATCAGCTTCAAATCATGCATGCACATAATTAAGATTGGCAGTTATTTATCTAATTATTATGAGAATTTTTGAGAATATTTGTAGCTCGGGTTGTGGATGAGGTTGCAGACTTGCTTGCCAAGCTGGTGTTTGATTACAGACACCCTGCTAGGTAATATCAGTGTGCCTCTGGTCAAGTGTTGGTGTTCTGTCCTGCTTGTTTATTAATAGGCCTCGGTTTGCTGGGATGGTTGGTATTACTTCTGGTTTTGTTCTTCTGTGGTTTGTATATTGGGTCCAGTTCTGTGTGTTGGAGTTTCAGTTGGAATGCCAGGCCTCCAGGAATTCCCTGGCATGTCTCTGTTTGGCTCGTGCTATTATGGATGTGTTGTCCCTGTTGAATTTCTGTCCTCCTTTTGTCAGTGTGCGTTGAGACCAGGGAGAACTGGTCAAGTCTCTTGGTGGCTAGTTGGTGTTCGTGTATCTGTTTACATAGGCAAAACTGGAAGAAAACTGACAATGTTTCTTGCATGGTAGTTTGTATATTGTTAGTTTTATTGGCTGTGGGTGTGTGGTCCTTTTTTATGTTCATCAGTAGCTGTCGCAGGGTGGTGGTTGTTCTGTAGTCTACTCTGATACCTCGGGGTCTGAGTAGTCTTGTGGTCATCTCTGATTGGTCTCTGGTCTCTGTACAGTAAGGTGATCAGTGTGTCTGGCCATGTTGTGTTGTCTTGTTGTGGTCTGTCACGGAGGTAATGGTGTATTGTGTGCTTTTAGGGTATCCATTCCTTTTTAAAAATTCCGTATAAGTGCTCCTGTTCTGCTTTTGTGTTCCTGGATTGGTGCAGGGTTGTGGCCTGTTTGAATAATGTTCTGATGCAGCTCTGTTTTATGGGCGTTGGGGCAGTTGCTCGTCTCCAAACGGAGCTGCATCAGGATCTTATTCAAACAAGGCACAACATGCTGGCTTGGCGAGCAAGTCTGCAACCTCAATTATTATATAACCCATTCCATCTCCATTTCTTCCTTTAGCCTGCAGGAAATTGTATAAATATTTCTTTGTGAATGTTCAAGTAGTTTTGTTAAGCATTCATAGGGCCAATTCTGCTTTTTATTTGATTTGTGCTTTTCTCCATTTATTTATGTCCTGTTTTCTGTGTCGGTCATGTCAGATAACTGCGTTTAAACAAGATGGTGAAAGACAAACGTTGTCCATGGTGTCTGCTTGGAAAGTGACCCATTTGTATTTGGACCTACTGATTTAACCATTGTCCTAAAATAAACTTTGCAATATTTAGGAATTTAGAGAACATTACAGTCAGCTTCAAAACTGCCGCAAGCTTTGTGTTAATCCTTACTTAAACTACTGTGTCTCTGCTGACAGTCTCGAAACTTGCATCTCATTGCTCCTATGTAATTAATGTTATCCAGAATTGCAGGATAGTTTATTCTGCAATTTGCTTTTCTGAAAACTCTATTGTCTGGGATGCATGCAATCACTCGGACAATTTTTAATTCTATAAAATGCAATGTGTCGAATATTTGAAGATGTGCTAGCTTTTCAAGAAATTGTTATACGAAGCAGTGTCATGTACAAATGACATCAAACCCTTTTGTAGTTTATTTCAAATTTCATGGTTTTGCTGTATTGTACTCAGTTGCCTTCAGTCAACAAAGTCCGGATAAGACTGAAGTGGACAATTCTGTTTTGAAATCATAATACTTCACTTTTTAAATAGACTAGCAGAATGAAGAAATGGTCAAATGCCAGGAAACACTTTTAACTCTAGATCAGTGAAGTTAAAGGGCCCTTTTTACATAAAACATTAGCACATAGACCGCAAGCAATTGGGAAGTCGTAAGGCCTTGGTTGCATGGGAAATGGAAACATTGCCGCTACAATTGTGGTGGACTTTGCTAAAAGCATGTTGAAGAGTACTGTGCATGGTTTTGGCCTCCTAATCTGTGGAAGACTAGGAAGCTCCATTATCAACTATATTGAAGCTGATATATTTTGAACACCCCAGAGGACCTGGGACAATGCAGATTGTGGGAAAGTGAAATCGATGTTCATAATTTTAGAGGTGTTGTGCTGCTTGAACCCAATCTATTTAAATGTCACATTATGAAGTAATGTTGAATTTTTAAAGAAAATGAATGGGCTGGCTGAACGGACTGCATAGCTTGCTCCTAGTTATATGTAAACCAGTGATTTTTTTTTTTCCTTCTAAAAGCACAGATTAGCTCAGACTTAAGATGGGAGTTGTTTGCAGCCTGTCTTGTGGGAATGCATATCTGTGTTTGTAGGCGTACTTTGACTGCAGCAACAATTTTTCAAAGGGTGAAGAATATATTTGTTGTACTCCAAGTTTGAAGCACAGCAATAAGCTAAAACTTGCACTTTGTTACCATGCAGCACAGCAGTGTTGCTGCTGTTAACGTACCAGGGCTGGAGTGTCTAATTGCCTTGTGTAAAGCATGAATTGTGTATCCAGGAATAGTTCGTCTTTAAGATCTAAACATAGTGATGACAAGAAGTCTGTTTTATTTGTGCTAGTTAACTAAGGAACGTGAAGGTTTATCTGGAACTCTGCTTCTCTTTAAAAATGTTTATTTTGTGGTCCTTGCCCATATGTGTAAATATTTCTTTTTCTATTACAGGTGCCCCCGTCGGCACATAGGTTGTACCGGGCAGCAGGAAAGTTCCTCAACACTAACAAATTTTGCACAAGTTAAGCACTTTGAAGAAAAGGTTAGCAATTGTGTTTAAACTTGGAATCAAAATAGATTTGTGACTGTGTTGAGTTGTAATTGCATTAGCATACTGTCAAACATAGATGTATGCTTCCTTTAACGAAAAGAAGCCCAAACCTGTACTCTTCCTATTTTTCAAGCCTTTTAAAGCTAAGTATAGTAAAAGTTTGCAGACTTCTGATCTTCCAGTGTAAATTGTGTGACAAAGCTATATTATGGAAATAACTATTTTGATTAATATAACTGAGATTGAAGGAGCCAATTGTTGCTCTTGTCCCACTACTACATGGTTACAACATAAATTTTAAAATATTTTTACACAGGTTCCAATACGGCCAGTTGTATGCTTTCACTAGGGGCGGAAGGGGGTGGTGATGTTACAAATGGATTTCTCTCTCTGCAGAGATTTACAGCTTTTAAAGAATGTTTATTGATCAGGACGTGTTTATTTTGAAGGCACAGAATGATCCTAAGTCCATTGATTTAGTTCTTTCCTACATGGTCAGTCACTAATCTAACTTAGCATGATTGTGTCTGGGGTCTTGTTGAGGAAATTCAATATTGAGAAGTTCTTTTGGTCACTGCCATTCCACAAGTCCACAATAATCCTTTGTGTATGAAGTATCATTTTAACATGATTTGTCAACTGCTTTCTCCACTCAACCAGGTATATAAATTTTATTATATGTGCTAATCTAGCCCAAACAGGATGTGACTGACGAATCTTCAGGTGCGAAGCCTTCAGATGTCAACAGTCGTGTTGATCACTTACTAGAAGTCTGCACAAAAGCAAACCATCAGGTACAACTTAGTAACTGCATTTTCTATCATAAACTTGATGTAGAGTTGTTAGCCCTACATGTTCATAGTGAAATATATATTTTCAATTTTGAAATTTCTGCACCACCAAATGAGAAGAACTGACTTCTGAGTCAGATATTTGGGATGTTTCGAATCCCACCCGGCTGTTGAATGAAACCACCTATTAATTTCCTTGTCTGTGACAAGTATAGTTGTGTCATCAGCATTTCAAATATATGCACAAATCATCTTGTCCTACTTCTTGAAGGAGTTTTGAGAGAAATGGGCGAGAGTGAAAATCACTAGTTATATCGATACAGTTCTAGTGCGAAACATCTTGTAATAAGCAGGTGCATTATATTGCTGAACATTCTGGCCAGAGGAAAGCAAATTATATCTTATTAAATTCCTATTCTAATGCTTGGAGGAATCACAAGCTTTCAGAGTGCTGCTGCTTTGTCTCACCTGACAAAGGAGCAGTGCTTAAACCTGTTGGCCTATGGACTGTAATGTGGCGTTGTGACTTCTGACTTTGTCCACTCCACTCCAACACTGGCACCCCTGCCTATATTTAGTGGGAGCAAGTACAAGTTATTTTCAAAATTGCAAATATTTTCTGAGATATTAAATACCGAACATGCATACCACTGTTAGATGGGAAACCAATATGCTCATTCACCATATTGCTTTGATAAAGAGCAAACGTTCCGCTTTGATCAGATCACACGGATGAGTCCAGCAGACTCTCAGCCAGTGTTCATTTTGTAACAGTCTCTCTTGGATTTAAAAACCAGTTTTACCCTTTTTTGTTAATTACCTAACCTTCTTTTTTATTAAATACTTTCATACTGCAGTAAGTTTCACCCTCCTCTTTTTTCCGCCCCCCCACCCCAGGGTTTTTGTTTTGTATTCAATTGCTTGATTATTCTGCGGAATCTTGCACTAAAGCCCGTGATTAACATCTGAACCTTGTATGCATTCATGAGGTTCCATAACCTATAAGGGAATGGACCAAAAGCAGAAAGTGGGGGTTAGGCTGAATGGCTACTTGCCAATCCATTAGGATATGCTTGTCTGTCTAAATGGCAGCTTTCCATATGATTCCATCACAAAATAAAAACCTGCATTTACATGCCACCTTTTTAGCGTTAGAAAATGCTCCCCAAATATGATGCAGGGTTGGTATTAAGAAAAAATACTTAAAAAGATATTTGTTTCAGGGTTGAAGGGAGAGGAGGGAAGATAGTAAGGAATGATCTGAAGACCAAATTGTTTGAGGCAAGTCAGAAAAGTGGCCGAAAGAATGTGTCTTGCCACTGGGAGTCAGTAGAAACATCTTCCCAACGTCCACTCTGTCCAGGCCGCTCAGTATTATAAGTGTTTTTTTTTTCTTCCCTCCCCCCCCCCCCCCCAAATAAGATTTCTCCCCGCACCCCCACCGCCACCGCCTTCTAAACTCCATCGCGTGTAAACCCAGAGCACTCCAACATTCCCCGTATGTTAAGCCTTTCATGCCCGGGACCATTCTTGTGAACCTCCTCTAGACCTGCTGTAGGGTCAGTACATCCTTCCTGAGGTATGGGGCCCAAACTTGCTCAAGATGAAATGTGGTCTGACCAGAGCTTTATAAAGCCTCAGAAGCACATTTCTGCTTTTATATTCTAGTCCTCAAGATAAATGCCAACGTTGTATTTGCCCTCCTAACTACTGACTCAGTCTGTAAGTTTACCTTCAGAGAATCCGGGACTAAGACTCGCAAGTTTCTCTGCACTTCAGATTTTCTGAATTTTCTCCCATTTAGAGAATAGTCAGTGCCTCCTCTTCTTAACAAAAATGTATGATCTCATACTTGCCCATGTTGTATTCCATCTGCTGCTTTGCCCACTCTCATAACCTGCGTAAATCTTCCTGCATACTATCTCCTCCATACTACTTGTCCTTCTTCCTATCTTTTTGTATCATCTGCAACCTTAACCAGAATGCCCTCAATTCCTTCATCTATACTAATGTATAAAGTGAAAAGTTGTGGTTCCAGCACTGACCCTTGTGGAGCACCACTAGTCACCGGCTTCGATCCTGAGAAGGATCCTTTTATTCCCGCTCTCTGGCTGTCTGGCAGACAGCCAATCTTCTATCCATGCTAGTACCTTTCCTGTAACACCATGGGCTCTTATCTTACTCAGCAGCCTCCAGTGTGACACCTTATCATAGACATTCCTGAAGTCCAGATATCTGTAGTAAATACTACAACACATGGATTGCAGTGGTTCAAGTAGGCAGCTCACCGTGACCTTCTCAAGGGCATCGAGGGATGAGCAAACAAATGCTGGCCCAACCAGCAATTCCCATGAATGAGGTTTCTAAAAAAAAAACAGAATTACCTTTTTTTTTTTTTTTGCAAACCTTTCATGTCATTATCGTAGTGAAGCGCATCCCCAAGGCGGTAGAAGTTCATAATCACACTTTCTACCAGCCACAAGGAAATGGCTATTGTCAGTCACTTCGCTGAAGTTGCTCAAGTAGATTTCACCAAATTGTATGCAGATTTGTTCTAATCTGCCAACTTTGCTGACATGGCACCTTCTAAGGAATATCTCTAGTGTTTTGTCAGCAGGGTTTTAAAATAAAATTAAACATTGGAAGAATCTTAACCCAAATTAAGCCATATTTGACCTCTTACATGCATCTCTTTCTACAGCATGTGAATTCTGAACAGTTGGACTTCCCTGAGCCTGGACTGGAGCCTTCTGAAGGACTGGAGGAACCTCCCACTATAGCTGCTAGTACTGATAACATCTCCAGTTCAACTACCTCTGAGAATTCCTCATTCTTGCAGCACAGGCAAGTGTCCTACTCTACCTTACCTTTGCCCATACGTTTACCAGATGCAAAGTGGGCTGCGCTATTGCTGTCTTGTTTACAACTGCTAGACATAAATGAAATGTTAAATACTATAAATTTAACATTTTTCTTTTCTATCTGATGAAAAGAACGGAGTGTGATGTATATCACAACTTAAGCAGTTTGTTCTTTGAAATGACCGGAGATTTGGGAGTTTAAATTGTAAAATATAGGGAAAAAATAACTTGGCAAAAGAACTACAACTGTTTCACATTATTTGGCAAACTAGAAATATTAATCACTGATCTTATTTGATGTTCCATTTTCATCCCACTTTTAAAATGTTGGCTATCTGAAATTTCACATTAGTGCTTTAAGATTTGTCATGTGCTCAGAGCTAAAATTGTAGACTTGCAAAATATGGGCACACTGTACTTGACTATGACTTTGCTTTTCATATCAATCAGTGCAAATCTGTAACTTTATTCAAATTTGATGTGATTCACATTTATGCTATTTCTAACTTATTAAATTTAGCTTAATATACATTTTTTAGGTTTCCTTTTTAGATTCCTCCAGGCAGTTTGGAGGAGAGATCCATTTGAGTGAAACAATATCTTAAAACCGTATCATTTCTTTCTCTTAGTGCAATAGAAAAATCCAGTGATGATATTCCTGTATTAAGCTATGAGCAGTCTAAAACTGACTGTGATGCTGGAGGGAAAAGTGAGGCTGTCCCTCAAAGCAGGCCCCCCTCCTATGTTAGCCTATCTGAAGGGTGAGTATTGAATAAGGCTCATGTTTCTTTACAGAAGCTAATATGTGCAGTATCTGATTTTGCTTTAATGCTCTGTTTGCTTCTCATTCTTGGAAGCGTAAGCTGTGTTGTAAGAGAACACATTTAATTTGACTAGAGTACTTTTTGGCTGCAGATGATTTATTTATAAGGCTATATTTTACATGTAGACCTCCAGAGAAACCTAGTGATGGCAGTAAAGGAAACCTACCTGAAACTGAGCTTTCTGAAATTCCAAAGACAATCTTGCCTGAAGCTGAAGAACAGAACCCAGAATTAGAAAAGACTTCTAACACATCAGAGGACATGTTGAATGAAGAGTTTTCAGAAGTAAGTGCTATTCCACTAAGGCGGATGAACTTAGAGCATGGGTCAGTACTTGGGACTACGATGTTGAGGCCATTACAGAAACTTGGGTAACTCGGGGACAGGAATGGTTGTTGAAAGTTCTGGTATTTAGATGCTTCAAAAGAAATGGGGAGGGTGGTAAAAGGTGGGGGGGGAGTGGCATGGCTAGTCAGGGCTAGTATAGCAGCTACTGAAAGGCAGTTCAAGAATCATATGTCTACAGAGTCAGTTTGGGTTGAGGTCAGGAACAAGAAAGGAGCAGTCACTTTGGGAGTTTTTTACAAACCCCCTAATAGTTGCAGAGAAGTGGAGGAGCAGATTAGGAGGCAGATACTGGAAAGGTGCTGAAATCACAGGGTTGTAGTCATGGGTGACTTCAACTTTCCAAATATTGATTGGAAACTTTTTTTTTTAATTGTGATAGTTTAGATGGAGTGGATTTTGTCCAGTGCGTTCAGGAAGGATTCCTGACACAGTACGTAGATAGACATGAGGAGAGGCCACTTTGGATTTGGTGCTCGGCAATGAACCAGGCCAGGTGTTAGACTTGTTGGTAGGAGAGCATTTTGGCGGTAGTGATCATGACTGTTACTTTTACAATAATCATGGAAAAAGCAGCAGGGTAACGTTTATAGTTGGGGGAAGGGTAATTACAACTCTATCAGGCAAGAACTGGGTAACATAAAATGGGAACAGATGCTGTCAGGGAAGAGTACTATTGAAATGTGGAAATTGTTTAAGGAATGCATACTGCGTGTGCTGTATGTCTGTCCCTAGCAGGCAGGGAAGATGTGGTTGAATGGGGAAGCCTTGGTTCTCGAGAGGAAGAAGAATGCTTGTATAAAGTTTAGGAAAAATGGAACGAAAAAGGCTCTAGAGGGATGGAAGTTATCCAGGAAGGAGCTGAAGAGAGGGCTTAGAGCTATAAGGGGGCATGAGAAAACCTTGGCAAGTACGATCAAGGAAAACTCCAAAGCTTTTTACATGTACATGAGGAATAAGAGAATGACCAGAGAAAAGGTAGGGCCGATCAAGGATTGTAAAGGGAATTTGTGCACGGAGCCTAAAGAGATAGGAGAGGTCCTTTAATGAATACTCTTCTTTGGTATTCACAACTGAGATGGACCTAGTTGTAGAGGAGGGCATTGTGTAACAGGCTGGTAGGCTAAAGGAGGTGGATGTTAGTAAGGAAGATGTACTAGGAACTTTGAGGAAGTTGAAGATAGATAAGTCCTGCAGCCTGATGGGATTTATCCAAGGATTCTATGGGAAGAGATTGCAGGGCCTTTGGCGATGATCTTTTTGTCCTCCCAGTCCACTGGTATAGTGCCAGAAGATTGGAGAGAGGCAAATGTCATTCCCTTAAAAAAAGGAATAGGGATAACTCCGGAAATTACAGGCCAGTTAGTCTTGCGTCAGTGGTGGGCAAATTTTTGGAAAGGGCTCTGAGAGATAGGATTTATGGATAGGCACAGTTTGATTTGTGATAGTCAGCATGGATTTGCGAGGGGTAGATCATACCTCAAACCTTATTGAATTCTTTGAAGAGGTGACCAAACATGTGGATGAAGGTAGAGCAGTGGATGTGGCATACATGGATTTAAGGTGTTTGATAAGGTTCCCCATGGTAGGCTCATGCAGAAAGTAAGGAGGCATGGGATAGGGGGAAATGTGGCAGATTGGATTCAGAATTGGCTGACCCTTAGACAAAGGATGGTAGTGGACGGAAAATATTCAACATGGTGCTCAGTTACAAGTGGTGTACCACAAGGGTCTGATCTGGGTCCTCCTCTATTTGTGATTTTTTGTAAATGATTTGGATGAAGGAGTGGAAGGGTGGATTAGTAAGTTCGTGGACGATACGAAGGTGGGTTGAGTTGTGGATAGTGCGGAGGACTGTTCTAGGTTACAAAGGGACATTGATAGGATGCAGAGCTGGGCTGAGAAGTGGCAGATGGACTTTAACCCTGAAAAGTGTGAGGTGATTCATTTTGGAAGGATACATTTGAAAGCAGAATACAGGGTTAACGGAAAGATTCTTGGCGGTGTGGAGGAGCAGAGGGATCTGGGGGTTCATGTCCATAGTTCCCTGAAAGCTGCTACCCAGGTGGATAGAGTTGTTAAGAAGGCGTATGGTGTGTTAGCTTTCATTAATAGAGGGATTGAGTTCAAGAGCCGTGAAGTTATGCTCCAGCTATACAAAACCCTGGTTCAGCCACGTCTGGAGTATTGTCTAGTTCTGGTTGCCTCATTACAGGAAAGATGTGGAAGCGTTGGAAAAGGTGCAGAGGAGATTTACCAGAATGTTGCCTAGAATGGAGGGAAGGTCTTGCGAGGAAAGGTGGAGAGATCTAGGGCTTTCCTCTTTAGAAGGACAAAGGATGAGAGGTGACTTGATAGAGGTGTACAAAATGATCAGAGGTATAGAGTGGACAGCCAGAGACTTCCTCCTAGGGTGGAGGTAGCTATTACGAGGGGGCATAGTTTTAAAGTGAGTGGAGGTAGATTATAGGGGAGACGTCTGAGGTAGGTTCTTCACTCGGTGGTCGGGGCGTGGAATGCGTTGCCGGAGAGGGTAGTGGAGTCGGCCTCATTAGGGGCATTTAAGTGGCAATTAAATAAGCATATGGACGAT